AGTCAAGACAGCTTCACTGATGAGCTGATACTGCCAACTGACACATTGCCAACACTTTTCTGCTTGTCTGTCATGTCTCAGTGCAGCTCTGCTTCTCAAAATATGATGCTGTAACTTAATTTGTGCCAGAGGGGACAGCAACCAGAACATGCATTTCCCCCTGCTAACCTTTAAAGGCATCAAAGCTGACTAAAAAGACTAGTGGTTCAAAGCAAAAACAGGAAAGTGACGTTTGAAAAGACAGAGTGTAATCAAAATGTTAGTGTTATAGTGTATGTATTAAAGTGCAGGGAATACATGCCTGGAAGCTGTATACTATGAAGAGACTTAGATTTAGCATAGCCGAAGGGCAGTGTTGCAACATTAATGGATATAAAACTTCGAAAACGTAATATATATCCACATTTACCAGATTTTGCACACATATTTTTATTACTGTGTATGACATTCAAAGACATTTTTCTATAGCAATAAAATATTTATATAAATGCCCTTAAGTAAAGAAGTGTATGCAAAGTTAGTTTTCAACATTTCTGTCTTGTCTTGAATAAGTTAGATTTTGCTCTTTTTTGCTTGTAGTGCAATGCCACCTGAAGCTATGCGACCTCATCCTCTGTGTTGGCCACCCCAGTAAACTCAGAGCTCTGAGAGTCCAAGAGACCAATAAGTCGCAACAGTCACCCACATCTCAGCATGTCCAAAGATGAAAAGTCAGTCAATTTAGTGAGTATGAAAGCAGTTTGGATGTATGATCATCAGTGGGATTCTAGCGGATACGAGCTTTTCCCAATTATATTTTACATAAGAAAAGTAGCACTGAGCCTTTGATGAGAATACTGCATACAGTATGGCATATTAAGCATTTAGATTTAAGTGTAACATGTATAGTTCCTAAATCCTTTGGCGATCTACATGAAGATGAGTGGAAATCTACTGGTTGGTCACACACAATTGAATGCAATAGAGTGAACCGTTTTTTCATTCATGTATTTTTTAGTTTGATTGAAACATACAAAGTGTAGTATAGAGCAATGGAGCATCAATAAAAACATAACTTGGATTGTCATGAAATTAGAATCAATCAAATCAAAATGTGAATTGCAGAACATATACAACTTGAATCACCAAACACATAAAAAATACATTAGTATGTACTGTATACCTTTTGAAGAGGGGTTGGATAAAGTCAAATACAAAGTTGGGAAAAGTTTTTGGGAAGCCAAGTTTCTGTTTATAAAGTGTCCTAGAGCCACACCAATAAATGTTTCTATTAAAAGGCATTTTGAAATGTACACAGAAGCTTACACTCTCCCATTTCTGCTTTGGTATAGTTATTGCTGGTGCCCAAGCGGGTGCAGCAGGCAGCACAGGGGGCTCTGCATATGCAAGCTGTGGTCCTTGGCACCAATGAGCAGCAGCGGGGTGTGGGCATGATGGGTAATCATCTCTCTCACCCCGGGGGAAACTATAAACAGAGGAGAAAGCAAAATGACAGGGGCCTAATGACGCAGGACAACTAAGCATCAAACATGCCCTCGAGCCAACGCCAAGACGTGGACTTTTGAACCAGTAAACAGCCATTCTGCTCTTTGTAATTTTGCAGGGAAAATGACATTATCTCCCATGTTGAAGAGGTCAGTTTTTAATGGTTGAATTTGTCTTTTAACGGTTAGAATGCTAATAGTTGGAGGCTAGATTACACCCTGCCAGGCAAACCCCAAGTATACAGTAATCTGACAGAAGCAGGCTCATTCTGTGGCTACCAGACTTTATCTCTTTGAGCAAGAATACTAAATATTGTAAAAATAAAGCTATTTTATATATATATTTTCTTAATATTTCCATAAAAAGGCTAGAGAACCTTATTATGTGAAATAATACACACGTTTACAGTAAATGAGTAAACTATTATATTTTTTGCGCTAATTAATGAACTAGCTCAAATGCTGTGGAATGCAAAATAACAAGAGTATAAGTTTTGTCAATGTCAACCATGCATACAAATACCATTTTAACTGAGGGACTATGTACATTCATTTTGTATGTTTTGAGTGCTTTCTAAGATACTTATTTGGTTAGAACTACTACATAAATGTACAGTATCTTTTTACAAGGGACAACATATCATTTTGATTATTGTTTGCTTTGCAGCAATGATACAGTTTGCAGCTCTTGGATAACTACACACTACGAGCTCAATGTATAGGCCTAAAACCTTTTTTCTCCAGAGAGATACTTTTTTTCTGTACAGAATTGGCAGAGAGCTACTTTTGTATTGCCTGGGATCCAGAATGTTTACCCAGTCCATATATTTCACATCCTCTGGGTAATGCGTTGTGTTTGGAATTGGTTCAGAATTAGCTATTGCAACCAAAATGTTGACCATTTTCTCCTGCTTTATCCAGCGCGAGCTTGCAGACGTATTTGTCAGTCCAGTCCAGTTTTGTATTGACATTTTTTCAAACTTTATTCATTTATTTGGAGTTGGACTTTTCTTTACACCAAATCATCTTGTTTAGACACAGTGAATTTCAGTTTTTTTTTTTTTTTTCAAAATTATCTTGTGAATTAATGCAGGTATCTTCTTACCTTACTGTCATGCCCAAGAAAAAAAAAAGGTTGCCTGTTTTTTGAAATCTTTTTCTTGTAAACCTTGGCTTCCTTCAGCACCATTAGAGTGTATGGATGCCCTGCTTGTCTGTTTACACGGTCTCTTACAATACATGGACCATCCATAGAAAAAAAAGTATATGTATTATCAAGATTTTCACATGTGTTTTTCTATTACAGAGGGCATGAACATCTCCTGACCTTGCCTAATTTCATAAGAGCTTCCTCTGCCTCAAGCCTGGTCATCTCTGCTTCGTACCATCTGGGATCTGAAGCCTGCATTCAAAGATCCATAGTAAGGACTATTTCCTGGTTGAGATTAAATTATTTGTATCTCCTGATGACTGATGATGTGGGAAATGTAATGCATATACCACAAGTACCTTTAGGAATGCTATATGAGGTAGATGCTATTGAAATACTGCCATCTGCTGGTAAACATGTGTATTTCCAACATTCACTTATTCAGTTATACAATAAGATTTGCATATTTAAATTTGATTTAATTTATTACTTGCGTTTGTGTCCTTTCTCAATTCTGAACTTTTTGAAGCCAAGGGTTGATGTCTCCTAAAACAGATCATTTTATCATTCTAATCATTCTAGAAACAATGTATTTTGATGCTTCAAGTTGACGTACTTCGTTGTGAGAGAGTAGTTCATTGGTGAAGTCTTGCTGAGGAGAGACTCAAATCTTTGTGCACACTGCCCTCTTGTGGTAGAAATTAAAACGGTGTAGTGAACATAAAATAACAATAACCTCATTCTGATCTCATTAGTATGCTTTGTTTTTATTTTGGACCTAAATCTGGGGTAAATAACTTATTCTTTCATTCATAGTTCATATAGAATATAGCTTCTAGTCAGAGTAGTCATTATGGTAAACATCTGGCTCCTGAAAAATAAAATTTTGATCACCTTTTCTTAAAAATGGTAATTTGATTATTTTGCAGTGATCCTTTTGGTGAACTTTTTTTTTCATTATCTGATTTGACTTTGTTGTCAAGTGGCGGCATAATGGTACACTGAAGACCTCAAACGGAACCAAACTTTTTTTCACCTTAAACTATATTAAAAATGTCTTTAATGTAATGAAAACTACATTTATCAAAAGAGCACACTCAATAACAAATTAAAGTTACATAGTAGATTTGATTCCATTAGATGTAAATGTTCAAGCCATTATCTTAATTTCAGCTCAAAGACTTCTTGTTGAACCCCTCCCGTATTGGGAAGTTTTAAGATACTATTAATGAGGTGATTTACTATGATTATATCTGTATGTTGTATAAAATACCTTGTTTGTCGTCATTAACACTAAAAAAGATAAGGCAATGCTGTTTGTTTGCAATTCAGTTTTGATGCACTGTTTGACTTACCTCAGACTATGAATTCTGTTTATTATGACCTTTGGAAGATCTTTAAGTTTTCTGTGGAAGTGAGAAATAGTCAAACATTAGAGCAGTTTAAGATATTCAGTAATTTAATTGCTATGAAAAAAAGACTACTTACTGAATGCAATGATGAGGAAACACTTGCAGGTCATACTCCGTCATTTGCCAATAATTTGAGCGTACTATTTTTATCCAGTTAAAGAATAAGGTATCATTTACACTTACCAGAAATTGTTCTCCTGTTATTTTTTGTACGTATTGTCACTATGTCACCTCCAACTGAAGCTGCTTGGACAATAAGCTAGTTTTTGTATACATACAATATGCAATTTACATTTCCATTCATATGAATATTGTGTTATAAAAACAATTTTTTTTTAGACAATATTCAAAACATTGACTGTGTTCCGCTTACAGAGGGGTACAGTTTATGCACAGACCACCTGACATTATTTTATATCTAACATTGACAAAGCAAGTGTGGTAAACAGTGACACATGTGATAATAACAAGCTGAAATGTTTTATTTACTTTCTTACACTTTCCAATGTAGCACTTCAGATTGGAATAGACAAATATTAAACCCCATTTGGAACTTTTGATGTCCTTGCAAAAAGTGCATGAGCCGCTAACATGTAACTAAGGCTGTGGCGATGATCCGGGCCACTTGGCCCTGTTCGCTTGTAAAAACCTATGTGACCGTGCCCTAACTATCAACATCAAATGACCTTTACTTGCTGCTACTTGAGCTCTGACCTTAAATGGTGTAAATGAAGATTAAGTTTCAGTCGTTGAGTGACAGATATCCACAGCTTAAAAGAAGATTCTCCGCACATGCTCACTACAAGTAGCTATTTATAATTTCCTTGTTGCAAGTACAGGTCAGGATGTTATGGATGGTATGCTAGCAAGTGGTCTTCACTGTCCTCACTGATACAAATCAGTATTTACAAACGGGTAAATACGTAGTAATCTTTGTCAGATCTTGTCTTCCAGCCCAAGCTAGTCCTGTAGAGGCTTGTTGGTATCTCACACCTAGGTGAAAGAGGAGGGCAGTCATCTTCAGATCCCCCCCAAACCCCCAGGCCTTGTGAGATTGAATATGTCCTCCTGGGGGGTCCACATGGGAGATCACCACCTCCCACCTTCACTACCACCTCTTTGGAAAGAGAAACATTACATTAAACCCCCTACACTCTACCAGGGGATGTCTGAAGGATGCAAACCAACTTGTGTATGAATAATAGCACATAGACATTTGAGATGATACCATCCTCCATCTAGACATTTTAAATTGAAATCATTTTAAACGTTGAAATGTACTGTGAATGTTCTGTCATTCATTCATTCCCTTGAAAGTCAAATGTGATCACATCTGTTGAAACAATTTTCCACAAACATTTTGAGCTGTGATATGTTGAATCATTGCCCTCTACCTGAAACATGTAACATAATCCTTGTCTGGAATGTGGATGTACTGGAGCATATCCGTGCAGATTCTAGAATGATTGTTGGATCAGATATTGACTCTATGATACTGTGGAAAATGAATCACACAGAGACGGGATCTTTGCGCACTAAAGCTCGCTGGAAGTTTATTCAGTTTCTCTCCCAGGTTTCTTCCAGGTTTTTTCAGTTTTTTCAGACAGAACATCATCAGGATATGGTTTATATACTCAATGTTTACGTCACACATACGTCATTCATGCAAAAGCATTCGTGTCACATCAAGAGACAATCAGAACATAACAAGACATCGAAAGAACAAAACACGGACACACAATCATAGCAGATAAACAATCGAGTCGTTGTGACCTATGCAAGGACCATAATACTTGTTAAGCAGATGCTATGTATGTGTTTTAATGTTAAGATGTTATATTTTCAAATGAATGGTTATGTCTTTTGATGGGATCTTTGCACATTGCACGGACAATTGAAAGTTTGCTTCACTGCTAACCATGCTCATTTAAAGAATGTTCATTGATGTGCACTGTCCATAAATTTACAAACAAAATGGCAATAAAGGGACAGTCGAGATGTAGAAATGTCTTAAGGTTAAGAAACAGCAGGTCATCAGTTGAAAAGCAGATCCTTTCCACAGGTAAACAGACAAAAGGAAGAATAGGGGCTACAATTTGCTCTGTCATAACATTTGAAGTTTAGATTAGTTTGCAGAGGCCTAGAATTAACTTCAAAACATACAAACTTCTGTCTATTGTTGGTTTAATGGGTTCAGCATGTCTAAAGATGTCTGCTTTAACAGCTGGTTGCATCTGAACCCTGCCAAGTCTCTTATCATTGTTTTACTGGTGTGTGTGTGTGAGTGTTCATGAGAGCGTGTGTGTGTGGGTGTGTGAGAAGGCATGAGTTCATCTGTGTGTGTTTGTCTGCGGTTTGGGGTGGGTCTGTTGGGTGGTCGGGGGGAGGGGTCATGGGCCGGCAGGATTGTTTTTAACCAAACTGTAAAGCACTTTGTGTTGCATCTTATGTATGAAAAGCTCTTTATAAATACAATTTGATTGATTGATTGATTGAACAGAAATTGTGAATTCTAGTAAGTTAGATATTGCAAATTATATACTTTCTTTTAGAGTTAGGTTTTACAAAACAGTGGGCCGCCTCCCCATTTGCCTCAGAGCACAGACCCCCTGGTGACAGTCATATCCATGCCATGGGACTCCGGCATATTTATGACACATCCAGCTGTGAGGAAAGTTTTGGGAGATACAGGGGGTTGTGGAAAAAGTATGACAGAGATCACATAATATGATTGATTTTTTACTTCAAATATGGATTATCCAATTACTCCAAATGTATAATGTGTAACAACTTTATGTTTAGTGTTTAATATATTGAAGAAGATGACAAAGTCTGCGATCGTGTCTTTAATTAAGACAGAAGACATGTTTTATTGTTGGTAGAGACAGCACGAACATGAACAAAGACGTTACAAAATGCAAGTGATAATATCCAGCATGGAGGAATGAACACCGTCCAATCAGCTTTCGCCACGATGCCAGTAGCTTGGCCTTCAGAAATCATAACATGCTGTGGAAAAACTGGCTTGTGCATATTAGAATGATTAGTTAGAACTTTAACCACAGTTGCTTCAAAGTGTCATGAAATCTCTAAAATATGCATTAGAAATGGAAGTCTAAAAGGTATTTTGAAAACTTCTAGCCTAAATTATTTTTTAGCTTATGAACTATGGTGAACATTTTACCAAAAGGCTGTTCTTGTTCTAAACTTTATTCTTTACATGTTTTGTTTATATTGCAATGCCAGAAGGAATTTATGAATTCTAGCTATTGTATTTTGTATTTAAAGAAAACCAAATATGTCTACGCTTTTAATCAGCCATACCAAACACATAATTTAGCTATTATTGAATCTGATTTTTTTTTTCTCCCCCCTTTGTGTCACCAACTATTTATTAAACAATATACTCTTGTGAAGACTGGATTCATGCAGGTAAAGCCAAAGCTAGTCCAGTACCTGACGTGCGTGCCCTGTCAACGTGTTTTGATTAAGCCTACTTTGATCTGTATGTTTGCATTCTCTCGGATAGCCTTTGGGCCTAATAGCATTTCCCCCCTCAAGACGCGATGTTTATTTATCTCAGCGTCTTTGTTCTAGAGAGTCTATGTGTATTCTCACTTCTCTACATACGTGAGAATACACACAGACTTCAGACTAATAGTGGATCAGCGTTGGATCAACCCCTGAAGGTGTCAAGAATTGCTGCGTGATGCGTGTAATCCCCAATTATGATCTGGGCACGGCTTTCGTATTCTAATACAGCGCCCTGATCCCACACGTTCAGGAATACAGCTTGGTTGCTTGACCGCAAGTCTCAAACTAAATTGACCTGGCATCGAGGCTCTCTCTCTCCCGAAATAACATGACACGTGATCATCTTTTTTAGTGTAAGGCCCACTTTATTATTTTTATGCAATCCATAAATTAACACGTAAACGAGACATTAAAGTGCTAACATTAGACAAACGTATTCATCAAAACTTCTTCACGCAGACCTTTGTGTCCATACACCCCACTGCTTGAGTACTGTCAAAGACCTGCTATGACTTTTGGCCCCGGTGTCTCCTCTTGAAGCCGTTCCCCCCGGGAGCGTCCCTCCTGGCGCACATGTGTTTGAGGACCACCTGGGAGCACCTGTCGCAGTTCACCTCGCAGCACCAGTGGAACTTGCAGTTACAGCTGCTGACCACTTCAACACGCCTCTCCTCCACACCCAGGCCGCACTCATTGCACAGTCTGCGGCAGCTCTTGAGCTCCCACTGGGTGAGTCCATCACCCTGCATGAGACACTCGCGTCCCTCTGTGCCGTAGAGCCCAATGCTGCTGTTCCTGCGGCAGTAGTCTGGGGATTCCTCCAGATAGATGAGCTCTGTGGAGGCGATGCTGCGTAGCGCGTCCAGGATGGCACCGCGGTTGTCTGCACTATTTCCAGCCCTCATGCGCTTTTTATCAATGTCCAATTTTTGTGCCTGATTGTGCTTGTTCTTCAAATAATTCCCTATGTCTCTGAAGTCTGACAACTGCATCCAACAAGTTTTGACGCTGCAGCTCTCAGACATCCCATGGCATCTGCAAACGCGCTTCATCGTTCTTTTTACTGCCTACAAACACAAAGATCATAACAGATTGTCAGTGGTGTATATTATTGACACTATAACATGCTGTTCTGTGGCAAACACGTACCAGGCGGCCTGCTTCGTTGTTGTGAAGGTTCACAGCGGCTCTGGCGTCTTGGCCTGTCTCTTGTGAGTCCACGTACTGTTTAGAAATTGTCTCACCAAAATCCACGTTGTCACTGCAACCTCCCCATAACCAACCACGACCACCTGTGCAAGAGATATTATCAAACCATGCACTAATAATAGGCCTGTAAGGGGAACACATATTTGTTTTCATTCATGTTCCATAATTATTGTCACGTGACTCACCTATTTTCCCGTTTTTGGACACGTCACAGCCACAGTTCTCGAGGTCTCCCAGGCTGCAGTTTCTTGTCAACGTGTACATGACACCGGCGGCACTGATGGCGTGGACAAAAGACGTTTCTCTTGTGGCTGCAGTGAATAGGATTACTGTTAAAGAAAGTATAAAAGTAAAATAATAATTTTTACATTTTACTGCCCCTTTATTAATAAGAACATAGCGTTTGGAAAAGCTCACCTCTCTTCAGTCCTCGGAGCTGAGTGGCGCTGTCAGGACAGTTCCATCTGTCCAAAGCGAACTGATGCTTGCACTCGTCAATGCCGCTCTGTGTGCCCACCTGCACACTCCGCGCGTACGTCAGGAAGGCCTATGGAAAAGAGCCTGTGAGATTTGCCACCTAAACTGAGCACATTACCTTTTGTGGTTAAGCATTCACCTTTGGTCCCGTCATCAATAAGTTACTTGCGACCCTATGAGGAAATTATGAATATAGTTATACCAAGTTTTCTTCATCAAGTATATTTTTAGTGAATGGAGTTATTACCAGGCCTGCACGGGACACAACAGAAGCAGGAGCACGAAGCAGAGACTCCCCATCATTCCAGCACCGTTACTTGGCGCTGATCAGTCTGCAGTTCGGACTCCGCAACTTTCTCTTATTTAAACGCAGCGCAAACACTCGCTCTCAGTCCCGCTCCCAGGAGCTGATTGGGTGACAGCGTCAGGAAACGCCTTATGCGCACATCAAAGCTACACAGGGGAGGTTTGTTGTGCAGGGTTTTGTGACACCTTAGTGCCAATATACAAATATAAAAGACATCAACATGTTTTAGATCAACGTGAGACGTGTATTATATAATATACATTTATTAAAAATAAAATATAAATATTATTTACATTCGTTACATGATTCACAAGCGTCCAGAACCCAAATCCCAAAACCTATACATGTATCTTAATTCAGAAATATGTTCTTATTCAGGGCTCATACTAATAATACATCATATAAAGTGCACTCGATGCAGGCAAGGGGAGAATATATTTACACAAAAATAATAAGTGAGACTTTCATGGATGGTGCATACGATGCTTGCGCTTGGATTTGTTTTGGGGTTTCCTCCCGCCATGTTTACGTGCACAGTAATATTTGGTTACAACTTGTGCACACTTTTGACACTTAACTGTGCAGCACCAGTGGAATTTACAGTTGCAGCTGCTAACCACCTCGATGCGCTTCTCTACCACTCTGTGACCACAGCGAGAGCACAGTCTGTGGCAGCTCTTTTTCTCCCATACGTTCTTTCCGCTTTTCACGCACTCCCGGCCCTCGGTGCCATGGAAGCCCAGACTCTGGTTCCTGATGCAGTAGTCCGGAGAGTCTTCCAGGTAGATGAGCTCCGTCTTGGCAATGCCCCCCAGAGTGAGCGCCCGAGCACCGCGGTGGACTGCACTGTTTCCAACTCTCGCAGGTTTCTTGTCCATCTCCAGTTTCTTTGCCTGCTGGTGCTTCTGCTTCAGGTAATTGCCGACCTCTCTGAACTCCGCCAGTTGCATCCAACACGTCTGAATGCTGCAACTTCCTGAGACGCCGTGGCACTTGCAAGCTTTCCTCATCGTTGCCTTTATTGCCTGTTTAAGATATTATAACTTTTAGGCTTTTACAGACACATAATTTAGTGATACATAACTTTATACAGAGCATAAATCATTACCAATCGGCCTGCCTCATTGTTGTGCAGGTTCACAGCCGCACGTGAGTCATGCCCATTTTCCAGTGCGTCCACAAACTGTTTGGAAATCTTCTCTCCAAACTCCACGTTGTCACTGCATCCTCCCCAGATCCACCCTTTGCCCCCTGAGGATAAACATGTAAACACAAATGAAAGCTGTCTTTTGCCTTACAGACATGTCTTTAAAAATGAATAGAAATAAACCTGCTTGTCCGATCCTCGAGTCATCACAGCCACAGTTGTCAAAGTCTCCCATGCTGCAGTTTTTGGTCAGGGTGTACATAACTCCTGCTGCGCTGATGGCGTGGACAAACGACGTCTCCTTCGTGGCTAAATTTGATGACAGATTCATCAATATTTCCATTTCTACAAAGTCATAACAGTTTATGATTTATTTTACATGCATGCGTAAAACTTGCGTAAACGGAGAGTCCACTCGTCTGCGTAAAGCTCATGCAAATGGGGTTTACCTGAGCGGAGGCTGTTGTGTGTAGATAATTGCAGCGTTCTTTCTGGACAGTTCCATCTATCCAAAGCAAACTGATGCTTGCACTCCTGGATCCCGTTTTGTGCGCCAGATTGCACGCTGCTTGCATAGGTCAGGAACGCTTTTGGTCCGGTCATGAGAAAGTTATTCACTGTCCTATAACAAAACACAGAATTGTTAGAATACAGCCAATCATTTGGTTTGAATAGTACCAAGAATACGCGTTCCAGCTTTCATGAATACCGCGTCATTCTTGAGTCGAAAATCCATACCAGGTTTTTGCACCGTGCAAATGACAGCACACTTGCAGAAGAACTGTGAAGAAAATGAATGGTCCCATAACGATGAAATCGGGGCTCCGCTGGAAACAGTCTGTTTTTGCCAAGAGAGGCTGTATGCGTCTGTGGCTGAAGAGAGCGCCGATTATATTTATATGGTCATGCCCCTTTGATTGACAGGTGGGTCCTGCAGGTAGCGTTTTGTTGTGAAAAGGGGTCAAAAGTTATTGCCTTGCCCCAAAAAGCCGAGTAGGAGACGAAGTACTTCAAAGTCATGACGCAGACAGGAACAGCCACTCATTATCCACCTGCCGTTCCCAAGCTCATCCCACATCACTCATGTTCCCACAATTAAAGAAGCCTAAAGCACGTTGGCCTATTCAAATTGAATCATTATAAAAATCATTGGCCCAGGTTCACTGATTTGCTGAGTTCAGTGGATTGGTTTAAAATAGTCAGGGCCATCCCTTATTCTTATATAGAAATATCCCGTTGGGTCAGTGGAGAATGTGGAAGCGTTTGGGAAATGGCACCAGTGTCCTGGGGCCCAGCAGTGAGTACAAAGCCATAAAGTCTTTCAGGGGCAGCCTGGATATAGTCATGTAAATACTGCCTCACACATTGGTGGCTTTGGCGAAGTTGTGATAATAGGATAATAGATGTTTCCTTGGGAAACGACACGGTGCGAAAACAGTCTGGAATTTACAAGAACACAAGCAAATAATAGTTTTAATGGCGAATAAAACCACAGGTTGGCATTTGGCATTGCACTTTTGGTATAGACCTACAATTTATTTAGGGGTATCTGATTGCCATCCGAGAAGGCGTATGGTCAATACAATACGAATGCAAACTGTGATTGGAAAGCACTCAGGCTATAGATATAAAAATCAGTTTCCAGAACACTTTTACAGGCACGTCCCAAATCCCCTGTAAGCCACTCACACGGTTAACGACAGTCACTCACTGATGATGGGCGAGGTGCTCCGCACAATGACATTGGCAAGTGTAGGAGAGGATAATCCCCCATTCATTAGCTATGAGCCCTATTCATTATGTTTATTACTGAAACTTCGAATCATAACACCTAATTAGGGAATAACACACAACTTTTACAAATCCATACAGATCGCTGTTAAAACTCTGTAGGCGGGTTGAGTTAATGATGCGTCGTAAACTGGGCGGTCTTAACATGATTAACATCGAAACTATATGACAATCTTTCACATGGGCGATTATGCTACTCAAGTATAATTTCAACTTTTTATTGTTTGTTCTAATACAATCAAATTGGCATCAACAACGTCTTCTTGAAGAATGTTGATGTAAAAATCAAATCAAAAAACAAATGGAGAATTGCGCGTATAAGTTAGAGACGTATTGTCGCGCGCATGGCCCTAATAGATGATTTATGACAGCTCTAGGTGCAATAACTGTAGCAATAAAGGGCCAGGAGGTGGCGGGCTTCACAGCCCGTGGGGGGACCGCGACGCCTGTGTGTCAGATCCAGAGACAGATTCAGATCACGGAGGGGGGTGTGGGGTCTTTACAACCCAATGCAGACTGTCATTATGGGGTCATTATGATGCCTGGAAGTCTGTATCACATACATACGTCGTAGGCCTCTACATTATGGCTACATTGGTCAATGGTCATAGATTTACACCACTACAGTTGCATGTTGTCACTCGTGTGTAATTTTACTCTAATTTTGTAGTTTCTAATAATATAATGCTAACATAAACAATAACAATATACTACATTCTTCACTGTTTCATATTGATTCAACGTACCCCATCAGATCTCACCATCTGATGACAATATTAGAAATATCACTATTCTAGCCCCAAATTACGCAGCTTACAGTGTGTGGTGGGTTCATGCGGTATTATAATGCTTTAATACTTTCCAGACCTAATGGAAGCCATATGTTTACATATGCTTCTTTCCTTTTCTTGCAAAAAATACTTGGACTTTCCTGATGACACACTAATGAGAGAGGTACTCAGCACCTTGTTCCTTCCTGAGTGGAATGGCTGTACATTCCATGCAGTCTTACCGCTTATATGGGTTTTATGTTTGAGTACATATTTTTACACTTGTATCTGGCACCTATTTGGAAGTTCTACCAAAGGATGAGTTGTTGATATCCACAATTCTATTCCTGATATATTGACTGATTAATTCATATTACACCTACATCTGTGCTTCAAATCAAATCTTGACATCCTTATTTGGGTTTCATAACCCATATTATTCTGTGTGTGTGTGTAATTTCTGACTTTGTTGCAAGTAATGCCACTAAGATTAACAAGATTGTGGCATTGTGAAAATCTAAATAATGACATTGAGAAAAACAGCCATTGTACATATCAGCCATAGTACCTGCAGTATCTAGAAACATTAGCCTGGTGTTTTATTATCCTATCTTTACAACCTTTTAAATGACCAGTAACGGGTCATATAACGTTTTCTGCAGTTCTGGAGGTCAATTGATTTAGCCTGAAGTAAAATTAAGTGATTTAGTCCTTCATATTTCCATCGATTTTGCATGTTTTCCACCTGTTACCAGACACAAGGTCAACATGTAAAAATCATGTTTGGCCTTTTCTGATCAAACTGTGCCAATGCTGATTTATTCTTAATGAGCTCAGAGAGGTTTAACTTTCTCAAGCAGATTATCCAATGAAATTCCCCAAATTCATAATTTTATGGTTTCAGCAACTGATATTATGATGTGGGTGGCAAAGTGTCTAAATAATATATTAACCCTAACTCAAAGTTGTTTTGGAGTTGTAATTTTGTAGATTATGCTGTATTTTTGATATATTTAACATGTTTTTACTGTAGTACACTGTAGTAATTTATTTACTTTTGCAAGTACCTCTCCTTCCTTAAATATGTTTAATATGTTTTGTTATCAAGGTCAGACTCACCTTGAATGTTTTAAGCTTAAGTACGGTTTTAACCCGAACAATCAGAAACACATCTCCACATCTTTGTATTTATTTGACAAAGAAAAGTAAAAAGTAGATTAATAAAACATTCCTTTGATTATCCAATTTTCTCTTCAGATTAAGCCTGGATGCCTGCCTTCCACTCTAAACTACAACTCTACACCACTCCCTAGTTTGGCAATACTGGAGAACATTGGCTGAAGGAAAAGTAAGCAACCAGGCATATGTTTATCTCTCCATACAGTAAGAGAACTCCTCAAAGGAAGCCATGTATCCTTATGACACCCCAATGAGCTTAGAGAACCCATTTACATCAACAAACCACATATTCAAATACTGTTATGATCAAAACAAAGTGCTTTTTGCTGTGGCATCGTTCTTCTTTTCGTCCTGCGTCCACAAGTCAAGGTGTAGCGTCGCCTTTCCTCTCCTGCTCAATGGCTAAAAGACAAAAAAAAAAAAACATTATTTCAATCTGTTCTCTCTGCGTTGCTGTTTGCAGAGTTATGACGGACCGCTACTGAAATGTTGCTGCTTGGTGCAGTCCGACGGGCAAACATGGTGGACACACACGGGGTACTCACTTTCTTTGGTGGGCAGAGGGTTTTTTTCTTTCGTCTCCGTCTTCTTCAGCTTTGTCTTGTCAAAACTAGCAATTTCTGCCATGTTGGGTTTGTCAGACATCTTTGCTGCAAAAGACAAAGTGCTTGAGCTTACAACTTCCATATCATTTATAATAAATGGAAAACACTGTGTCTAATAATCAAGCTCCCTCTCAAACAGTCTTTGCTACATTGCATATGGGAGTGGCTCCACACTGCAGGCTGGTCTGGTACTTGTGAATGATGGCACGTGCTGTCTTCCACCTTATATGCATGGCTCAAATGTGCCTCTATAAACCGCCTTGCTCTCCTTTGTCTGTGCTGTTGTTCATCTGGGTTTCCTTTTCATATCAACCTTTCTGCTTTTTTTTTTTTGGAATAGAAACAACCTTCTGCAGGCTATCCGCAACTGCAGCATATTCCTGACCTAGCCCTGGGAATAAGACTAATCTGCTGCCTTGGAACAGCATGGCTAGTCACGCCTCTTTGAAACCAGTGCTCTGTCTGCCAGTGTGAGGAAATATGCTAAAGCCAACTAGCCTGCAGCTAGTCATTTGCAAACTGAGCTACTGTAAAATCAGCTGCATGGAGTTGAATAGGACCTAATAGAATTGGTTTTGACACAGTTGGCAAGCGCCTTGAATGCTTGAAGTGAGGTGCAATGCCTTTTTTCCCCTTTAAGGCTGCAAATGAAGCCTATAGCATCACTGTTGAACAACGACACACATTGTTAATCTTCCATGGTTCTCTCAGCTGTACCATTCAAATATTTATCACTGTTATGGCTATATCCTTGTCACCATCATGCCACCAACATCCTCATTCATTCTCCTTCTACCACTAGCTGCCACACCCCACCCCTTTGTCTGTGTTTTTGTATTAAAACCCCAAACCAAACAAACAATTAAATCTGGCATACAAGAAAATGTGGACAATATTGGCTTACCGGTTTTCGAAAAAGAGCACCGGGCTAAATGCACCAGCAGATTGAGCGAGGAGGTTACAGAGACAGAGATGTATCAGAGGGAAGCAGTGTGAAT